TTGCAGGCCATTGCTGTTAACATAAGAGAAGCCCATGTTGGATCAGGCCAGTGGCCCATCCAGTCCCACACTCTGTGTCCCACAGTATTGAGGTGCTGCTGGGGCAGCCCTCCAGCTGAGTGCCAGGGGGGCTCCTGAGGACCTTCCTGGGCAGGGTGCTTTGTAGCCCAGAGGCAGCAGCTTGGAGGGCTGGGCCAGGGGAGGGGGGAAGAGGGTAGCGCTTTGTGGTTGCCTGCTGGAGTAGCCTCCAGGGCCTGCCTGCTGCCTCGGTTGCAGAGGGAGACCTCCACTACCCGCACCATTGATTTTTTACTAGAGGAGATATTATGAACATCTCTTCCGAGTCCGCTTCCTGATTAGTGGGAAAGTGCCTCATCAGTGCATTTTCTCTGGCGGGTCCCAAGCCAGAAACGCTGAGGATTCCTTACCTTTCCAGGGGGTGGGTGGGGGGAGCCCTTTGAGGAGGGAGTGGGGGGGGGACCAGTATCACGGCTGGATTTCCCAGCACTTCCTGCTCTGAGCGGAGCGTCGAACTGATCGAAAGGGGCTTCCCATCAGTTGCTCCACAGAGTTTCCCTTCGCATGTCTCCATCTTTTAAAAGATTGCGCAGGAACTCTGGGGAGCAGGGGCCGTCTTGGCAGAGACAACCCCCCCCCTAGTTTTTGAGGGAACGGGGAGGAAAGCTGTCTCTCTGTCTCACACACACACAAAAAAGCACACCTCAGGTGGTGCTTGCTGCGGCACACGTATACAGAATGTAAAAGCAAAGCGTGTTTCAATGCTTCAGAAGCATTGACTGTAACTCATATGGCTTAATTGCCTAAAGCTGCTCTTCATGGTTAGGTTCGAGATTAGCATATGGAGCAGAGGTCCATCGGTGGCTATTAGCCACAAGGTATATAAATAGGAGCTCTCGGTCTGGGGCAAGGGATGCTCTGTCCTCTTGGTGCTTGGGGGCAGGGGGGCAACAGTGGGGGGGGGCTTCTGGTGTCCTGGCCCCACTGCTGGACCTCCCGGTGGCACCTGGTATTTTTGGCCACTGTGTGACACAGAGAGTGTTGGACTGGATGGGCCACTGGCCTGATCCAACATTGGCACCTCTTATGTTCTTATATGGAGCAGAGGTCCATCGGTGGCTATTAGCCACAAGGTATATAGATAGGAGCTCTCGGTCTGGGGCAAGGGAGTATTGGACTGGATGGGCCATTGGCCTGATCCAACACTGGCTTCTCTGATGTTCTTATGTTCTGTCACGAAGGGAGCGGTGACTCTCGGAAGCTGGTGACCCTGGAAATCTGGCTGGTCTCAAAGGTGCTCTTGCGAGCGACTCTGGCGGTCCTGCGGCGGTCCTGCCTGGCCACTCTGCTGGTGGGGGCAAGCCCTGGCTCTCAAGCGGGCTGGCACAAGGCGGGACGGCAGCTGAAAGGCTTCGGGCTGCTGAGCCTAGCGAAAGGGTGGGGGAGGCAGGGGAGCCCTGATAGATGGGCTGAGGGTGGGAGCAGGGGTGCCTTTCCAGACAGGCCAGGAATTGGGCTCTGCCCACGGCCTGCTTGTTCTGCTCTGCTCCCCCCCCCCTCCCCACACCCCCTCCGGTTGGGGGGTGGGGGGGGGGG